CAGCCCCTCCCCGCTTGCCTCCCCCCGCCCCATCCCCCTGCCATACCGAGCTCCCCGGAGCTGTTGCAGGGGTTCCTCTGGGTCTGGCAGAGCCGGCTGTTGCCGCGCGTCGTCACCTGCTCCCAGGCACCGTTCCCGCCCGGGCACTCCAGTGCCAGCGGCACCGCCCTGGGGACCAGAGCTCAGACCCGGCACCTGGGAACAGCCCAGCCCCCTGCACCCGCGCTGGGGACCAGAGCTCAGACCCGGCACCGCGGTACCGCTCCGTCCCCCCGGTACTCACAGGTGCTGGAGGTGGGTGAAGCCCAGGAAGGAGCCACAGCCCCGCGAGCTGCCTGTCGAGCCTGTGGAACGTGGGGAGCAGTCAGAGGGTGTAGCCGGGACAGGGGAGGCAGGGGGAGCAGTGTCGAAGCAGCAGCTGTTGGGGCAGGGGCACCGCGGGGGTCCTGACCTCCCGGTCTTGGTGTTGTCTGTTATTAATTGAAATAAATGACGTTGTGGAGGAAAAAAGCACATTAGGGGGAAAGTCACATAAAAGAGGACAAAAGGGATATGCAGAATCAAAATAAAGCTTATGTAACAGTGAGACTGTAAGAATTAGTAAAAATCAGATTTCCTTGACAGAAAAACACAGCCCAAGTCACCAGCCTGGTCTTGAGATGGGCCTTCAGGTCGCAGATCAAAGAGATGGAAAGGAGCCCTGTCCACGGTTTGTATTGGTTATAGCCTCGGGAACTGGGTACAAAACACGGAGTAACTGGATTACATATTCATAAGCCAATGGCAAACTAAAACACAGACCCGTGGGCTAGAGGGACCCCCGCTCACCACAAGCACCCTTTGAGCAGGCGTTGTGAAGTTTCCCCTTTAGATGGAAGCGAAGGATGAGTCCGTGTTCTGTGGGAATGGCAGGACGACGGTAAAGACCTGCCTCGTGTTTTGGGCTGTCAAAGTAGCACGTGCGTTTCGGGAAACTGCGCTCGCTTTGCCGAGCACCGCCCTGCTCCCTGTGCAGCGCGGAACTGGGTAGTAACGCAAGTATCTCGACTGTGTGTGTGTATCGGCTTCTTGCACGCGGGGTGACGGGCCCCGCGCTGGGGCCTCCTCTGCCGCCCCTCGGGACAAACCGAGCCGGGAGGG